TCCAGGTTAGCTAGAGTTTGTTGTTTTTCTAGATAGAGGCTGAGTTGCAGCCTGGCATGAGTCAGCCTGGGAGTGAGGCAGGAGTTCACCTCAGGACAGGCTGGAAGGCTATAACAGGTCAGGGCTTCTGGAGCCTTCCCTCCTCTCCAGAAACTGAATAACTTTTTGGAAGAGAGGTGGAGGAGAGGAGGTGGCCCAGATCTGCATGTTTTGGGGCCTTGGCCAGTCCCCTGGCAGGAGGGTGGGCATGGTGACCAGGGCAACCCTCAAATGTGGCAGAGCCTTGAGGGAGGTGTGCAGTGTTGGGTGGAAGATGGATTGAAGAAGGCTGGAGTGTGGAGCCTGGGAGGGGGCCCACCTACAGGCAGGTCATTGGAGAAGGGGATCTCCACTGCCTCAATGTCTCCTGGAGAGGACAGCCCATGTAGCAGGGAAGGAGCCAGCCCAGTGTAAGGCCTGAAGACAGCCAGCAACCCACTAAGCTAACAGGAGAGGACAGTACAAGTACTCCTACACCCCCTGGGCCAAATAAGGGGATAGGGCCGTCAGGTGGAAGACCCAACTAGCTTCTCATCTGGGACTGTTCTAAATTGACAGCTCTTGCCCCCCCCCTTCCCAACCAGGGATACCCTCAAGCAGTTGGGTGAATAGAAGGAATCATCCAGGGTCTGAGCAGGTACACTAGAAAGCCTTTAGTTCTCTTAAAGGAGAGACTGTTGCTATCTGCAATTTTGTATATAGTTGCTAAGAAGTCGTCCTCAAGTTGTACGGCATTCCATATAGCCCTAGACCCCATCCAAGTTTAACTCCTTAAAAAAAACTACAAAACCAAGCTCAAGGACTGTTTACTGACTCCAGTGTGTAGAGTGTGGAAAATGCATGTAACCTGGCCATGCAGAGCATAAGGGGACCCAAACCAAATCCAGCAGCCCTTACGAGGGTAGTGCTACACATGATTAATTTTTTCCCATTCAACCACTGAGTTTACCAAAAAAAACCCCAAAAAACAATGAACCTAGTACCCAGTCCAATCACTCCTGCTAATCTTTTGTATTCTGCTGGTGGGGAGCCTTCCCCACTGGCAGAATACAATGATAAGTGTTCCTTGACTGATTGTGCACAAGTCAATTGATAGACTGACTTATGTACAACCAGCCAGCCCATACATGGATTAAAATGTGGCTAAACTGGCCGAATTTCAATCCATGTATGGCCGGCTAAAGGAGCAAGGAAGCTTGTGACCTAATATAACTATGACCTAATATCACTATGCGACCATAAGTAGCTCATCCCTACTGCTAAGCCTGAATGCAAGCCAGATCTATCTATCTATCTATCTATCTATCTATCTATCTATCTATCTATCTATCTGTCTATCTATCTATGCAAGTATGAATTTACTAAAAACGATTTTATTTATTTTTTCAACTGTCTAGCAAACATGATTGAATCTCTTTTACGGAGTGAGCAGATTAATGATCTTGTGGTGTGATCTTGTGATCATTGTGGTGCTGCTCCATCGTTGACTAATCATAGGATGGGTTTGGTCCCAAAATCAACTGTAGTGTACTGTAGTATACAGACCTTTCTCAGGAAGTACAGGACAGGGCTATTCTCTTGTCAGGGGTACCTTAATAGCAAGACTGGTTGAACCAAATGTTAAACCTTTCCTAAACAATTCCTATATATTTCTATGTATTTAATCTTAAAAGTCCTAATCGTCTTCTTAATAATCTTTTTAACAACATCTTAACATAAAGCCAGCTGATGAAAAAAAAACCCAGAAAGAAAATGGAAAATACCCCCACCCCAGCCTACACATCCTCCCTCTTTCTCTTTCTCACTCTATATATGTACATAAATGGTTCAAACACTGTTATCTGAAGATGTTCCCATATTCCTGTGCCCATAAACATCGCTAAACAAATTCAAGAATGGTTTTGTGAACCTGAACATCCCTGAACCAGTACAGGAAGTTATAAAGCACATAGTGTGAAATAGATTTCCACTTGCTTTGTTTTTTCTACACACAACTCGGGACTTGTATAGTAAGAACTGAAGCAGTTCTAAAGGCAAAGAATCCTTCTTATCCTTTAATTGGTCTTAGATGTTGATATCTTGTTAGGTTTTAAAGTGGAACTTTGCTTTTTTAAACACCATTGACTATTTTTAATCCTTTTGCTCTTAGTAGTAGATTGGAAGGTATATTATACTGTATTTACTTGTTTTAATTTTTTTTACATTTCTACAATTACTTCTTGGGTTTCCAGGTCTAGTCCTAGGGGGGTTTCTCGGCTGAGCTCACCCTCCTGCCTGCATGCCTGAGTTAATGGCAGCTAGATTCCAGGAAGTAAATGCTACATGAATCATTTTCCCTTACTCAAGATGGCCACAGCCAGAAGTGCTAGGGAGAGTTTTTCAAACTGATTTCTCAGTAAAATATGGCATGTAGACATGGATGGATGGGGGAGTTTGCGTTAAATAGTAAAAATGTATTAAATATTGTTTTTGGGTTGTGGTGCTCAGATACAGTTTAGATCCGCTTTAATGTTACTTTGTCTACTCCTCTATGTATACGATCATAGCCAGCAATCTATTTATGTGACAGAGACCCCTTGACATTTTTGGGGATAGGGAATTCTCAGCCCTTTCTGAAAATGTTATTAGACAAATTAATGTTGAAAATTCTGCTATGTAGAAAAACATAATTAGATAATTATAATTATATAAATGCAAAAATCTGTATATGCCCCTTACTAGTGATGCAAACCTGGGACTCCCTATTATTGATTCTATACAGGATTTACTCTATATAGCACCAAGAACAACAGTGTTCTTAATGCTTTACAATCCAAAGACAAGATGTTTAGGAGGGCCCTGCTCGTGGGAGCTTACAATCTAAAAGAGAGAAACAAGTGACATAGAAGGTAATAACTGTGTGAGGGATTCAATGTTTTTTTTGTTTTTGTTTTTTTTTTAAATATACTTTATTTTATATAAAATATTTAAAAAGCAAAGTACTTAACCACTTCAATATAGGGCACTTTCACCCCCTCCTGCCCAGGCCAATTTTTAGCACTATCGCATTTTGAATGACAATTGCATGCAACACAGTACCCAAACTAAATTTTTATAATTTTGTTCACACAAATAGCGTTTTGTTTTGGTGGTATTTGACCGCTACAAATAAATAATTGTTCTTCATAAAGGTAGGCCAAAATGTTTACTACTACATTACTTTGGTGAAAACAACCCAAACCAATGTATATTGTTTAGTCTGTATGAAAGGTATAGAGTCTGCAAAGTATTGTATATATCTGAAAATAGATTAATCCTGCTGTTCTGGGGGCCTAACTTCTTGAGGCCCAAAAATGTCAGGACAGTACAGATATCTCCCACATTACTCCTTTTTGGAAAGTAGACAGTCTGAGGAATTTAGTGAGAGGCATGGCAAGTTTTTTGAAGTTGTCATTTTTTTGTCATAATTTTGTGGAAAATTAAGAAATGTAAAACAATTATTTCACAATTTTTTTTCCATGTACTATCACCAGTGCAGTACAGAATCATCATATAACTGGTGTGGCAGTGATCAATTATTTTTTTAATTACATTTTTTCTTTTTATTTTAATGTAACATTGTACTAATCTGGGGAAGTGATCAGTATTTTTTGTACACACTATGATGCTTATAGCAATTAATTTAATTGCTATAAGCAAGCATTATACTTGTTATTTTTCACTTTTGTTCTTAAACATACTGTCACCAGTACAGCATTATCATATAACTGGTGTGGCGGTGATCAAGGACATTGACTGGTGACAGTACAAAAAAAAATATATTTTTCAACTTTTTAAAAAAATGTTTAGTTTTTATTATCTTTTTTTTTATGATTTTCTTTATAACACACTGTGACCAGAGTAATAAAATGTTACTATAGTAACATTGTACTACTCTGGGAAAGTGATCTGTATTTGTTTTTTTAACACATTATGATTGCTTATAGCAATGAATTTCATTGCTATAAACAAGCATTTTACTGACTTAAATTGATGCAATCAGTTTGTTTTGATGTGGTTAGCTGTGATAGGCCACAGCTAATCACATGATACAGAGTGCTTGTGATTGGTCTGTACCATGTGATCACTGTGATCAATCACAGCTAGCAACACAACTGTATACAATGAATGGTATGAAAGGAAACCATCCATTATTTACAATTGTCATGTGACCTGTTGTGTTTGATCACTGAGTGATGATAGGCCACAGCTAATCACATGATACAGAGTGGTTGTGATTGGTCTGTACCATGTGATCACTGTGATCAATCACAGCTAGCAACACAATTGTATACAATGGATGATATGAAAGGAAGCCATCCATTATTTACAATTGTCATGTGACCTGTTGTGTTTGATCACTGAGTGGCCCCTAAGGTACCACTGGAATACTTAGTGGTGCAATGTCAGATGTGCAGTGTCAGAGTTAGACCTGAGTTAGTTTTCAAAACATGTGGAGAGCACTATTGGTTTTATTCCTTTTGCATGAGTACATGTCACACGGAGAGGAGGAAGTTGAACAGAAGCTACAGCCCATGTGTCGATGCCTGTGATTGTTACTGGGAGCCAAGAACTAGATGGAGCATAGCCCTCAGGGGGCAAAAGTGTGTTTGACCTTGATTATTGATTAAGGTCCAGTTCAGGAGCAGTTATGGTTCACAGGGTGTTATGCATGTGACATGTGGGTGATTTGTTGAAGTGAAGACTGTGATATCTGGAATTCACTGGTGGTTGGCCACATATACATATTTATGGACTTATTTTTGTTTCATCATTTGGGACTCATTTATTTAAGAAACTCTGTTCTATTCTAGTTGCTCTGCATAATTTTTTGTATCATGAATTAGACCTCTGTCCCGCATGTCCAACACAGCACCGCAACTAAAACAAACCATGCAACATTTCATGTACATAAACAGCCGGACGGGAGCAGTACAGGAGCGGAACACCGATTGCTGTACGAGACCTCTGTGTGAGGTCCCGATCATGTGATCACTGATTGACCAATCAGTGATCACATGAATAGTAGTAAGCAAGATGTCACTTCCTGACATCATTATTATTATTATTATTATTACTACGAGTTTATATAGCGCCAAAGGGTTTGCTCAGCGCTGTACAATAGGGGGGACAATACATGGCACAGTAACAACAACAACAAACAACGTACGAGGGGTAAGAGGGCCCTACTCTTACGAGCTTACAATCTAGGAGGGAGGGGGTAAAGGTACAGTAGGAAGTGGCTGAGGGGGATGAAGTGGTGGGAGGAATGAGGGAGGATGGCCGTTAGGTGAGGGTGGGGTAGGCTTCCCTGAAGAGATGGGTTTTGAGGGAGCGCCTGAATGTGAATAGGGAAGGCGACAGTCTGATGGATTGGGGCAGTGAGTTCCAGAGGATGGGGGAGGACCTGGAGAAGTCCTGCAGTCGTGCATGGGAGGAGGAGACCAGGGAGCAGGATAGAAGGAGGTCCTGTGAGGAGCGAAGGGTACGGGTAGGGTGGTACTTGGTGATCAGGTTGGTGAGGTAGTCAGGGGCAGTGTTGTGAACGGCTTTGTAGGTCAGGGTTAGGAGTTTAAATTTGATGCGTTGGGCAATCGGGAGCCAGTGGAGGGAGAGGCAGAGGGGGGTGGCAGAGGTGGAGCGGGTGGTGAGGTGGATGAGTCTGGCAGCTGAGTTCAGGATGGTCTGGAGCGGGGAGAGCCTGCACTTGGGTAGGCCAGTGAGGAGGGAGTTGCAGTAGTCAAGGCGTGAGATGATGAGGGATCATCTCACTCATATCATTGCTTACTACTTGTGAAATCTATGAATGATCACAGAGGTCACATGGTACAAGGCTATTCACAACAGCCTTGTACCATGTGACAAGCTGTGACCAATCACAGCTCTCACAGTATTTCTCAATGGCTGCAAGAATGCAGCCAGAGAGAAGGAGAAATGATTGCTTTTACAGCCTTTATGGGTGTAAAAGCAATCAATGTAAAAAAAAAAAAATCTTCATCACGCCGCACAAGTAGTACAGTGTCACTATGATGACACCGTACTGCTAGGGTGACAGTTTGTTAAAAAAAAAACATAAATAATAATATAAAAAATATAAAATATAAATGTAAAAAAAACATTTTGAAAAATAATAAATTTTTGGTTATAAACTAATTTGGGTTTTTTTTTTTTTACTAAAAAGATAGTTGAATACATTGTGGCCAAGATTTACGAAGAAAGATTATTTATTTGCCAAATTTTATAAGAAAAACGCTTTTTTTTCAAAATGTTTGGACTTTTTCATTTATATAGCAAAAAAAAAAAAATCCCAGTGGCGAATAAATACCACCAAAATAAAGTTTTATCTGTCTCAAAAAATTGCTAAAAAATTCATATGGGTATAGTGTTGCATGACCGCTCAATTGTCATTCAAAGTATGAAAGCACTGAAAGCTGAATATTGGCCTGGACAGGAAGGGGGTGAAAGTGTCCGGACTGGAAGTGGTTAAAGTCTATAAGGTTCTAAAGTTCAGTTGTGGGATAGGTTTTCCTGAAAGGAATCATATAGTGGAGGACAGAGTAGGAGGCAGCTGGACAGATTGGGGTAGGAGCAGACTGACAACTCATGGGGCCCCCGAGCAATAGGGGATCATGGGGCCCCTGTGTCCTTGCCCAAACTCAAAAAAGCCTATAAAAAAGGTACCAGGGGCATCTCATTGGGCCCCCTACTGACCCCGGGCCCTCGGGCAGTGCCCGAGTTTCCAAATGGTCAGTCCGCCCCTGGGTAGGGGGTTCCAGAGGATGTGAGACTGTAGGCTAGCATGGGAGGAAAATGTTATTAACAGTTATTTTTTTATTAAAATAAAAAAGGATTTTGTAATTAGCTGCTCTGGGCACTGATAATGCACAGATCGCTCTCTTACCTCCTTTTTTCAATCCCCTGCTGGTGTGCTCCACTCCTGTTCTTCTCCAGGTGGCCCCTCTGCAAGAAAGGTGGTAAGGGGACATCCAGGTGGGTGAGCTAGGCTGTGTACGTCCATAGACACTTCCACTCCCCCGCTCCCTATGCTCCCACTGCTCTCAGTGTCTCCTGTGAGATCAGGACACGAGAGGATCAGTGCTGCAGCAAAAAACAGCACTGGATCGGTGGCTTGGTCAGGTAAGTGTTTGGGGATGGAGTTGTGTAGATTAGTTAGTGATGGGGGATTACCTTAATGCAGAGACTGCATTGAGGTAAAAAAAAAATTCAAATACATTCTGAGTTTAGGATCAATTTAAGGGAGCATTCTACTGTATGTGTTTATGCCTCTAATCAATCAGTCCCCCCCCCCCCAATCCAACATCCCATCTCCACTGTACTGCCCTGTACGATTGCTTGTAATGAGTTGGAGTTTCTTCTGAGGAAGGTTACAAGACAAAGAATGACTGGTTAAAGGCTGCACGCTGCACCCAGGGGCACTGTAATAACCCTGCTCTCTCTGGCAGGGACCATGGGAAATCTATATAAAACACAAGTTATGGAGTGCAGTCTAATAAGCACAGTAATGTTTACGGATAGCAACAGTTCACTAAATAATTTTACTTGTTGCCTGGAGCTGCTCTTTAATAAGATTCCAATTTTTACAATTAAGGGGCTCCACATCTTGCCTTTGTGGAAGGGGCCTGGTGTTTTCCTAAGAAACCTACTTGACCCACAGGTCAATAAATACATTGATTAACATAAGGCACAGGTGGCTTTCAATAAATTGCTTACCCACTCTTTTTGCACCTTTGCACAAGTGTGGTTCTAGGCAGATAGAAATGATCATTAGCATTTGTCTTTATTGTAGCTTCCAGTAATCCCCTGAAAAGAGGGCTGAGCATGGGGAGGAAAGGTGCAACTCTGTGAACCAATCTGGCGCTAGTATGTTACTTAGGGTTGCCACCTCATCCCTTTAAACCCGAACACATATTAATTACACAGGTTCTGTGGCTGATTAAGGTGGTAATTAAACTCACTTAGTGATTTTTTTACATTGTTATTGCTTACAGTGATCATCATTGTTATAAGCAATTAGTTTAATAGTTGGTTCTCCATTCATGACAGCTTGCTTACTGTTGTGATTGAATACAGCTAAGGTACTGCCAGGTACCATGTGATAGCTGTGGGCCAATTATAGCATCACAACAGTAAGCAAGCTATTCTTCAATAAAAGCCATTCATGGCAGTTTGCTTACATAATATCATGTGATTGCTAAGATTGATACCGAGCACCAAGATCCGCTGTGTCCAGTGGACACAATAATCATGGAATTGCGCCACTGCGTGCCACAGTTGGCGCACTAGTGCGCATGTGCTAGGTGATGTATGGGTATTTGCCCAGCCCAGCTGTGCCACCTGCCCACAGTAAGTGTACAGTGGGCCGGCAGCAAGTGATTAAAGCAAAACGTCATCCAAATATAAAAAGATAAAAAAGAATAACCCTTTAAAAAAAGATAAAATATCAAAGCCAGCTTTTGCTGCAATATTCATCTTCTATCCAGAGAGTTCCATGCAGTTTTTCCTCCCACTAGATGCCCTCAGTCTGATGGCCATCATCATTCAATCCACTTCCATTTAGCCCAGGTTGCCCTGGATTAGAGTTGCCACCTCATCCCTTTAAACCTGAACACATATTAATTACACAGGTTCTGTAGCTGATTAAGGTGGTAATTAAACTCATTTAGTGCCTTGTGTGCATTAACTTAGCCTCAGAACCTGTGTAGTTAATATGTGTTCGGATTTAAAGGGATGAGGTGGCAACCCTACCCTGGATCCACCCCAGCCCGTGACTGGACAGTGAAAGGAGAAGCAGCCCAGTGATAAGCTCATCTCTCTGTCACTCTGCTTTCTCTCCCTATCAGCATGCTTCTTGTCAGCACAAAAATTAATTGGCTCCTTGTGCTAAATTTCCTTGGAACCTGTGGAATTAATATGTGTTCAGTTTTAAAGGGATAAGATGGCAACCCTAATATTAATGTCAGTCTAACAGCACTTTCCTTACAACTTCCTGGAGGGGCCTAGGCATATCAGTGTTGGAATGTTTAAAGAGAATGTATAGAATACATAGTGGTTTTGTATTTTTTTGTATATTATTTTACTATGTCCAGAACTAAAAGTATATATACTGTATGTAAAACCTTTTTTTATTGCTTTTTAGTGAAGTAAGCATGATATATTGCACATGAATATGTCATATTTACCATTTGCAGGACTAGGGGTGTGATGACTTAAAGCAGAGCTTGCGCTCCATGCAAGGTCCACTTATTAAACGTGCCCTTCTTCCTCCTTGTTAGAACACTGCAAAAAAGTGTAAGGGGGAAAAAGTTTGATATTATACTTATCTTTCTCAGTAGTGCAGGGGGTGAAAGTATTCTCCTGCCGATGAATTTCCAGGGAATAGTGAGTACTCGAAGTCATATTGCTGATAGCAGATTACTCTGCATTCCCAAGATCTCACTTGGAGGAACATGGCATCACCCCTTGAAATACAGAGGAAAGGTAAGAATGATAGCCAATATTTTTTCCTTATTGGTAATTTTTTACACATTATTCCTCCTTTAGCATTGGGGAAGGAAACCCATTTTAAAAGCAGACCTTTAACTTTAGATAATAAGCCCTCTGTAATCATTTCTGCTGAGGCATTTACTGGTATGCTGTGAATAATCTTTACAACCTGATCTCCCGATGTTCAGTAAAATATTTTTTTTACTATTAGCAGCCAGCAAGTGCATGACTAGGGACTGATGACTTAAAAGGGACCCTATGCTTAATGAAAGCTCCATTTTTTAAAATGTGCCTCTCCTCCCCTTACTGGAACACTGCATAAAACTGTAAAAAAAATAAGCCGTAGGAAGAAAAACTTAATATTGTACTTACCAACCCCAACTTCCATATTGCTTAGAGCAAAGTCATTATCCTGTTGATCATTAGAAGTTGCTGCAGCACCGTGCTGAGAGCATCTCCTCTAGAGTACTCTGCATTCCTGAGATCTCGCTGGGGGGAGCATGTCATCACCACCTGCATTAGAGAGGAAAGGTAAAAATAATATCTAATATTTTCTCCCCTATGGGTGATTTTTTAAATTTTACCCTGAATTTTAGCAGGGGGACAGGGAACTTATTTAAAAGGCAGACCCTAAATTTTAGGTGCGAAGTGCGCTTTAATATTTTCGGCTAAGGCATTTACTGGTATGCTGTGAGTAGCCTTTATAACTTGATCTCCTGCTGTTCCGTAAAATAAAATTAGCTAAGAGCAGGGGCGGACTGACCATTTGGAAACTCGGGCAGTGCCCGAGGGCCCGGGGTCAGTAGGGGGCCCCATGAGATGCCCCTGGTACCTTTTTCATAGGCTTTTTTGAGTTTGGGCAATGACACAGGGGCTCCATGATCCCCTATTGCTCGGGGGCCCCATGAGTTGTCAGTCTGCCCCTGGCTAAAAGCATCTTTGTTTCCCTTTAAGTGCACAGACTAGAGACCATGTAGCATCTATACTTTATGCATTCACAAACTAATTTTGTTTAGTCAGTTTAAAGCGGTATTAAACATAAAACCGAAAATGTATTATATTGCAGCTTACCAATCATTAGATGTGATGCCTTTCTTTCTTTTCTTTGGCCTCCTTCTGGCCAGCAACACATCTCCTGTATTAGTTAGACACAGATCTGGAGGAATGAGCACAGGAGGCACAGAAGACAGCAGCATTGTCAGTCTCGGGAGGGAGGGGGGAGGGTATCATTAAATGTATTAGAGAATTTAAATATACTATGAAAACTGAAGCTAAACTCCAGCTGTTATTTTTATAATCAGTTAGAGCAAACAGTTTATTTCCTTTTGGGATAAAGTTTTTGCATGAATAAATAAAATCTGATAATTTTAATCACCCCTGTCAGTGTTGAGTGGTTTGTCTCATCCATGTAAGAAGAAAGCCTAAAAAAGAAAATGAATGCAGCCATCATATCTAAGAATTGGTAAGCTGCAATTAGGGCC